ACTGTAGCTTAAGCAACAGTTGACAGCATAATACTAATATTATAATGTTAATTAAACTATATTATATAATTCAATTCAAGATATATAAATAATAAGATTTGAGTCTTTTGATGCCCTCAAATCAAAACCTTTCACTTTTCTTCATATGGAAGCCTATTAGCCATACCCTTTCCACTTTTTATTATAAAATAATAATAAATAAATAAATAAATAAAACCATATACCTACTTTTATTTTTTTAATATATATATATTTAATGGAATATGTGTGGAAGCTAGAAAGTGCTTAATTTTATTTTATTTTTTATTGGTACAAATAAATTATTGTAAATTAATAGAATTTTAAATTCTTCATTTTATATCTTAAAATGATCCTTAATGAACTAGTGGATAATGTGCATAGCTTAGTGTGTGTTTAATAATTTAATATTGCAGTTTTTTTTCAATAATATAATTAAGTGGTTTTAGATATTTAAAAGTATTTTTGTAGTATTTAAAAAAATATATAAATTTCTTAAAATAATATTTTTTAATCTAAAAAGAAATATATTTGTGTTAGCAATTGTATAGTTTTTTTAATTATTAAAAGTATTATTATAAATTATATATCGACGAAAAAGAAAAGTAAAAACCTGTTTTCTAAATTTTATATTGAGATTTTGAAACTCTGAGTGATTATCGTTTTTGTAAAGTACGAAGGGCAATTTAGTAGTTTTGTGATAATCGAGGGATAAAAAGGTTCATTTAAAAAAATTGGGCCCATTTTAGAAATAAGAAAAATTGTTTGCCAATTTAAAGAATAAAAAGAAATTTTATTAAAATATAAGGACATAATTGAAATTAATCCAAAATTTTGAGTGATATATATAGTTTGAAGATAAAATTTATCCTAGGAATAAAAAGGTACGCACACTTTGTTTGTCACCACTAATTTCGTGGCCTCATACTCTTTGTTTGGATGTGACAATACGACAGCGTTCTTTTTGGATCAATTGATGTGGAAAATATCAGTGTATTTTCTTCCTTTATTTCTTGATTAAATTGTAAATATATTATATGTTTTTTTTTTGGGTCCCATTTTCACATTTTATTATACTTTTATAATAAAGTTAATCCTTTACATTAATTAAATAAAAAATAATAGAATTTTTCAACGGTTCCAAATAATAACGTCAATGAAAATTACACAAATAATAAATAATACAGTTGTTTTGACTCGGTTTACACTGAACTCGATAATAGCTTCGCGATATACGTCCTGAATTTGGAAGGCTCGGTGAGCTCGTCAAAAGCTCGGTAACATTTTTATTTTTAATTCTATAATTTTTAAAATATTAAACCAAATTTCAATAGGAAAAAAATAAATTGGGTTTTTTTTTTTTTTTTTTAATCCTCGTGACTCGGCCGATGGAACACAGTGGAAGTAGTTGGTGGATCTCGTTTTGTTTTTGGTGAGTAGGCACTCTATATTTGTATTTTATTATTGCTAATTTATTTTCATATATAACAATGATATAAATTAGGTAGGGACAGAGACGAAAATACTGATTCAATTTATTTAAACGAGAAATTCCCGTCTTGGCAGAGTCCACATTGCACGAGTTAAATAAACATCTCTAATTAAATCTATATTTTAGAGCAACTTTAAACGAAAGTAATTTTAGTTAGCCTATTTTTTATATAAATAATTTAATACTTTAAAAAAGTCGCCTCTACCCATACTAAGGAGTATGATTCACATGATAAAGTTAAAAGGATAAATAACAAATAACTTTCTCCAAAAAAAAAAAATGAGAATCCTTTTAATGAGAAGATGATCATAATTTTAATAAATGATGAGACGCATGAATTGAATGACTTCATTAGACGAAGTGGGTATGAATAATGGTTTCGCTTTCACGACTCCATTAACTATGGAAGATAACGTATACCATCAACCGTATAATAGATGTGCCTATCACCTTGTTCCATGAAAACCAAAATCAAAATTATTTTATTTTATAAATGTCAAAAATACTGGTAGTATAATTCAATAGTAATTAATTTTATTTAAAATTTGAGAATCATATTTTTTCTATTAAATTTATTATTATTTTTTAAAAATTAGTCTCGTCAAATTTAGGATGAATTTATTTTCTTTCAATTTTTTTTTAAAAATTTAGAAATATATTTAAAATTTATTAATGAAAGCAAGGATTAAATATTAAAAGTATTAAATTAAATCTTTAAAAACGATAATAACAATAAATAAATAGACTACAAATTAAAATTACGAACTAAACCTATATATACCTAATAAAAAAAAAAAGGAGGAGGACTTGCCACGTCATTAATTTCCCAATTCACGAGCTTTTTTATTAAATAAATAAATAAATAAATAAAAACCCTATGTGCAGGGAAACAGAAGAAAAGGCGTTGGTCAGGGGCAATTTCTGGTGCCCTTCGTCCAACGGAGAAAGGGGCGTAACGGTTACTTTTATTAGGGTAATTAGTTAAAGTTCATTGAATTACTATTTGGCGCCAATTTACTTTAACCATTTACTGTTGTGTTTACAGTAATGATTTGAATTATCTATAAAACCTAACCAACCGATCTTTTGTGAATTCTTTATTAATTTTTCGTATGATTTTTTTAATTGTAATAAAAAAAATATTATAATATATAAATTGGATCACAACAAAATTATAGTACTCACCCAATTTTAGTGAATATCCATTTATTTTAATATTAAAAATAAAACGTAAGCAATCAATCACCAACTACTAAACATTAAATAAAGCATTATTTGAGAATTTTTTAATAATTATAATAAAATGTAAAAGAAAAATGGGGGAAATTCAGAGCTTTTCTGTAATAAAAATGCTGTACATAGCATGGACTATTTAATATATTAATAAAAACATTAATTTATTATTGTTATTTTGAAAATGCAAGGACGCTACGACTACATTTAATCGGGGAAAAAAGAAACAGAAGGAAGATACGATGAACGAGGACTGGTGACGATTATCACGTGTTATACGTGGAGAACCCCATGCACGAAGGAAAATAGGAGAGTCAAAGCTGCTATTCACGCCACGTGGCGATCCAAATTTAGAAAGCCGTATTAATCCCGATTTTTCAGTTGGGGGGGGGAGATTTTTTTTTTTTTTTTTTTTT